CGCCAAGAGGTGATCATGGGATACCAGATCAAAAGCTTTTTTAAAATCAAGATATATGACATCAATCTCTTCTCCCTTGTCCAGGTGATAGGTCACCTGGTCGTAAAAGGAAATGAGATTAGTCAAGCAAGACCTACCCGCAACAAACCCGTGCTGGCTATCCCTCAGGATGTTGGCGTCGGCCAGTCCATTAAGGATGGCCTCTTTAATAAACTTTTCTAAGACCTTCCCTGGGATAGAGGTCAGGCTGATGGGCCTGTAGTTTGCCGAATCCACTTTCCTCCCTTTCTTGAAGATAGGCACCACATGGGCCTTCTTCCAGTCTTTGGGCACTACACCAGAGCGCCAGGAGTTCTCAAAGATCTGTGCCAGGAGTTGGGCTATGATGCTCGCCAGCTCCTTGAGTACCCTGGTGTGTAGATTGTCAGGGCTGGCTGACTTGAAGGTATCCAGCCTCTCAAGGTGTTCCTTCATGAGGTCAGCATTGATGAAGGGCAGGGGATCTCCCTCACCCGGACCTCCCTGTCCCATAGTGGACATGGGCATCCCATGGGACTGATAAAAGTACCCATTTAATAGGCTGGCTTTTTCCTGGGCATCAGTTGTCCTATCTGTTTTAGCAGGGGTCCATTGTTGCCCTTGCTTTTCCTCTGGCTCCCCACATATCTGAAAAAGGACTTTTTATTGTCCTTGATGCTTGAAGCTAGTTGGAGTTCAGTTGCAGCCTTGGCTTTCCTGGTTTGCTCTCTGCAGGACTGGACCAGTGCAGGATATTCCTCCTTGGAGGTGAACCCTGTCCTCCCATCCTTTGTAGGCCCTTTGTCGGCTTTTCTTTTTAGTCTCAAGAGGTCTGCTAGATCCCTGGAGAGCCAGGGGGGCTGCTGTGCCCTCTTGCTGCCTTTCCTCCGAGACAGAATAGAATTAGGTTGTGCATTGAGGATTGCTCCCTTGAGGAGCAACCACTCTTCCTCCCCTGGGGAACTCCCCTCCCCCTGGGGTCATGGTCCCTTAGGGCCTCACCAACAAGCCTCCTGAGCTTGTCAAAGTCAGCTTTCCTAAAGTCAAGGACTTCAGTGTTGCTGACTGACTTGCCAGCTTTCTGGCAGATGGCGAAAGTGATCAGCTCATGGTCGCTGTCACCCAGCTTCCCATCGATCACTAGGTTGCCGATCAGGTCATTCCCAGTTGCCAGTACCAGTTCAAGCAGCGCTTTACCTCTCGCTGACCCGTACACTTCTTAAGTCAGGTAGGATAGGAAGCTTTGCAACCGCTCGGATTTTGCTGAGTGATCCTCCCACGAGATGTCTGAGTAGTTGAAGTCACCCATGACAACCATGGTCCTGTAGCATGTGGCCTCAGCCAGTTCCCGGGCAAACTCCTGGTCAAGCTCTTGACTTTGGGTGGGAAGTCTGTAGTAGACTCCCACCATTGTGTCCCCTGTGCTGTGTTCCCCACAGATTTTAACCCAGAGGGTCTCCAGTCATCCACCCTAGTCACCAATATCAGCTTGCAGGGACACATAGCTTTCCTTAACATAAAAAGCTACACCCCCCACCCCTTTTATCTACTCGATCTCTCCTGTACAGGGTATAGCCATATATACCCGTGCTCCAGTCATGGGTGGAGTCCCACCAGGTCTCCGTTATCCCTATGATGTCGTAATTATTTGTGTTAAGCAGGAGGATGAGTTCCTTCGCCTCCTACAAGATGTCTTGGTAGTTAAAGTCTCCCATGGCAAGCATAGACGGTGGGTTCCCTTAAGTGCCTTGGCCTGCTGGCTTTGCAAGGGTTGCTCAGCAGGCCAGCAGTGGTGGTAGTCCCCCCATCCCCTAGTGGGCTTAGTTTAAAGCCCAAGGGAGCAGGTCAGCCAGTCTGGCTGAGAAAAGCCTCCTCCCCAGTGGAGACAGGTGGAGGCCATCTCTTCCCAGCAGCTCGCTGCTTCTCTCACCAAAGAGCAGGCTGTGGTCACGGAAGCCAAAGCCTTCCCGATGACACCAGCGCTGCAGTCTTTGGTTAACTACCTGGATCCTCCTCTCCCTCCTCAGCCCATAGCCCAAGACTGGGAGGATTGAAGAAAACACCACCTGTACCCCCAGACCTTTTAGCGCCTCATGACCCGGCTGGGAGCGCTCCAAGCCGTGTCACTGGTGCCACGATTACATGATCCATAATAAATGGTGTGGAAAAAGAAAATAGGGATTTGCCATTTCTCACAATACCAGAACTAAGGGATTCAGAAGGAAATTATTAGGAAGCAGGTTTAAACTAACAAAAGGAAATTATTTGTCACACAACACGCAATTCATCTATAGAAATTTTTGTCACAAGATGTTCTAGAAGCTGACAGTTTAACCAATTTAAGATTCTTGTATGATGGGTCTATAAGCAGGTATTAACTATTATAGTTATGGATGCAAGCTCCAAATTAGGACTAAGTCTCTTAAGTGCTGGAAGTTGAAGGAAAATAAGGACAGGGGACAGATGAGTCTTGATAGACCTGGCATAAATACTCTCTCTTTTCATCCATTCTCTTTTCATCCATTCTGTACCACTGTGGTCTTACTCAGCATGGCGTCTCTCATGCTTTAAAGATGGACTATAACCCCAGGTATCCCATAAGTGCGCTAGCCAGGATAGTATGAACATAATGGATATCAGCACCATAACTGGCCAATTTTTTGTGACTATGGATGCTGCATGTTGTACTCACCTTAATGTTGCTGCTGTTCGGCAGGCTTCTAGAACACCTAATAGTTTGGGAGGCTCTGGGATTGGACCTGGATATGAACCTCCCTAGCACCAAACTATCACAATGAAATTTAGGCAGAAGTTAGTCACCTAGGGGCTCAAACTGGATATCTTCTGAATATCTTCAAGATCTATAGATGACTAGGCAATCATGCAGTCCAAAACAGAAGTACCAAATGTATACATGGCACCTAATATATTTTGTGGCTACTGTTCATTGCACTGCTATTGCAGTTGGGCCTTGCTTAAATTTTACCTAAATCCTACATAGGTGTTAGCAGAACTAGCCCTGACTCTAAAAATATTGTGCCAGTATTTGTATCATTTCTGCAGAAACTTCAGTCACATCAGTTTCAACCGAGCAGTTTATTCAGCTTCAAATTAAAAAAAGTGTTACTAAATATTTGACAATTCACATGCATAAACTCAAAACATTTCAGCTCAGAAAAAGTACTAATTTTTTTCAGTCCCATATTAAGGCATGTAGGAATCTCACAGACAGACAAAATCTGGATTTATTTTTAAAGGCCCTAATTCACTGAAGTTTTTTTTTTGTTTTGTTTTGTTAATGAATCTGGTCAAGGTGAGTCCTGGTAGTATGCAGTTTTGCTTTTATCCTTTCAGTAGTGTATAGCAGCTGAGGATCAGCATGATTTCGAAAGAAAAGTATTTTCAGGAAAAGCTTTCTTCAACACTGTCTTGATTTGGAGTGCTGAATAAGCCATTGTAATGTTATGTCTGCAAGAATAAAAAAAACAGACAATTTTTTAACATTATTAAGGCATAAGAGATTGTTAGTAGATCACTGTAATAAAAAGCCCAAAATGTTATAGTGTCTAGTCATTTAGAAATGAAATTTACTTCAGGGCTGGATTTTTATTTTGTTCTGTTTTAATTACATGGATTTAGTGCTTATGAAAAGTGATAACTGACAACCTGGAAAATGAAGTCCTTTAAGTCATAGAGCAGATACAGTTGTAAAAAGCAAAGATTTAAAATGAATATAAAAAGAGAACTGTAAAGTCCAGACAGGAATTAAATAAGTGCGACTAGAAATCACAACTGAGGCAGGAATCCATGATCAGTGTTGAAGAGCTGGTCATTAAACAACAAGAAAACCGGCCTGGTACTGCAAACAGACTGAAAGCTAGATTTGGAGCAATCAAGAAAGCTAATATTGTAAGCTTTCTTATTCATTACTACTGACCAGTATTATCACCACACATTTACTGTCTAGCAAAACTACTGTGCAGTAGCAAAAGCATAAGCAAATACCAACTGCACAGTCTACCACTCATGTAGATGCGGCTACTACGTAGCGATACCTGAGCTAGCGCCAAGCAAGAGAGCTGGGGTACTAGTAGCAGTCCAGGTAAAGCACCTGGACTGCTACTACAGCTCGATGGTTTACAGCACTCAAGCTAGCATACTTAGAGTTAGCTTGGGTATCCCTACACTGCTCTAAACTGTAAAAAACCAGCATACAGGTAACAAGTCAACAGGTGAGAAAGGTTATGGTTAGTGGAGAATGACAGAAAAAGACAACAGGATATAGCACCTAGGAAGACAGCTGGTGGAGACTGACTGACTGACAAGGGTATATGTAAACAAGGGCAGGAGCCTAGGGATTTAAATTCAGTAAGGATATGACGATGAGATGGCTTCATTCTTTAAAGGTCATTAATAATATGGATGGAGACACAAAGGGATTTTGGACTGTAGTTAATCAAGGCAGAATCAAATACTCAGATTCTAAATAGAAATGCTACTAGCTAACACCACAGAGGAAGTCAGTTATGCCTTGTCTTCACTTTCAAAATGGAACAAGCCACCTCTCAATTCAGTGCACACTGAGGCCTAAATCCTATTTCACCTCTAAGGCACTTAAGCCACTTTTAGGTTCCTAGGGCCCCCTCTACACACCCAAGTAAAAGCGCAATGGGACCTAATGTACAATATACATAACTGCACCTCCTGCCATGACACACGTGCATGCCAGGAGGCACGAGTGTGGAATCACATATTAGATCCCACTGCGCCTTATTGCTAGTGCATGGGGAGCTTGATCCTGGGATGCCTCTGAACTAGCAAGAAGCAAGCTCTCTCAGCTGGGTGTAGCCTTAGCCTAGGGGACCCCAGCTACAGGGGCACCCCGTGCTCCTCCTGTGGCTGGGAGATTGCTGCTGGTATGATTCCCCCACACCAGGATGCAAGAAACCCCTGGGGTAGGGAGACTGCTGTAGTAGTGATCTCCCTACCCCAGGGGTTTCACACACCCCTAAGGCTAGGAGATTGTAGCAGCTGCATCTCCCAGTCATAGGGGTGTCTGGGGTGCCTCCATGGCTTGAAGCTCCTCTGCAATTTTTAGACTCTATGGGGTACTTCTGGGACCCAGAGTCTGCAGCTGGTGAAGCTGAGAGTCTCTGGCAGTTGCTGGACTGCCAGCCACAGCTAAGCATGGTGCACCTCCGTGGCTGGGAGCGCACAGCAGACGGGGGTCCCAGCTGCAGGATACACCCTGCTACACGTGCAAATTAAAGCTTGATATCAACCAACTATAACATTAGTATACGTTTTCAAAATCTAACTTTATAGCTGGTTGGAGGTTTTTATGGTGTCATAGCTACTTTGCACTTGTAGCTGGTCTCGATGTAATTGCACAATTAACCAGTTAACTGCAGAATACCTTTAACAGGTAGAGGGGGCCTAAATGCAATTTGATTCTGTCCTCCTCAAGCCACTGTCGCCTTCTGTTGGCACCTAAAGGAATTGGATGCTCAATCCTCATTAAAATTTTTGAAAATCTCAACATGTCACATACAGAAGGCACTGTAAAAATTGTGTGCTTACCTATGTTATCCTTCTCTTTACAGGAAATAGAATAGCAGCAGATCTCTCGGTCTTGAATGGCTGAAAGGTTTCTATAGAAAGAAAATTCCATTAAGTAGTTTTATTACTCCACAAAACCTGACCGAAGCATTTTCCACACAATCCATTTAATTACATGCTTGCTATTTTGTATTCAGAGGGCCAAATTCTAACCTCTGATACGCAACTTCAGAAATTTACTATTGCTCCCTGTAAGTGAATTTTTTAAAGTCCTAGAGATTTAAAAGGCTGTAAAGTCATTACATCAAAACTCAGATTTCTGATTAAGCCAGTGTAATAGGGCAAATTAGAAAAAATAGGCATCCAATTGATATTGTTATTAGCAACTGGGAGATGAGACCCTCTCTTTAAAATGTCTCTTTTCATTTTCTTGTATCAGAAAAAATGCTTTTATGAATTGTAACATTTTAAAACTAAATTTAAAGAAGCACAATATTAACTCCAGAGAGGTTTCCCACATCATGCTAAGTTTACTCTATTGAGAATTAAGGTGGCTGAAATAAGATTCTGATATATCTGTTAATACAACTGTGTGTGGTGAGGGAGACTACATCTCATATGGCCTCCACTACCACTGTTTCTGAGCATTTCACAAGTTCTGATGTTGTCATTTTGTGAAACAGAGAAGTTATATTTTCCTCATTTTACATAGGAGGATCTAAAGCAGGGGTGGGCAAAATGTTGGATCCAGCTGGTGGCTGGAATCCATTTCCCAGTAGTTCCTGCCCATGTCATTGCAGCTGGTTTCCATGGAGACCCCAGGAGCAGCAGGGCCATAACAGCACAGGGCCAGGGTTTCCATGGAGACGAGCCCCAGCAGCACTGGCACGGCGCACGGCTGAGCAGGGAGCTGCTCCGGTGCCAGGGCTGGGATCCTGCAGCGGTGACAGCATGGTCCGGAGCTGGGGCAGAGCTGTGATCCGTTGCCTGCACACGCCTCCCTGGGGTGTGTGGCCAGTGAATCACAGCTCTGCCCTGGCTTCAACCACTCTGTCACAACCACAACATCCTGGCCCCAGAGCAGCTCCCTGCCCTGTTAGAGCTGCTGGATCCAGTCTCCATGGAAACCCTGGTCCCATGCTATCACAGCCCTGCCGCTCCTGGGGTCTCCATTGAAACTGGCTACAGTGACGTGGACAAGGGGTGCTTGCCAGACTTTGCCAGCCCTGGCAGAAGTTAATTTAAATCTGCAATGGGATCTGAAGAATTTTATCCTGGATCCCAAGTGTCCAAATCTTGCCATGCCAGAGGTTTGCGATCTGGCATGGTGGGACATGCAATTTTTGGGATCTGGGATGATTCCTGAGATCCCATCACACGCCCAGTCCTTTCAAGTCAATGTGCTCCCCCGTGCTGGCAATTCTGAGGCAAGTTTAAAGCTGCGTCATGCAGCCCAGCACTGGGCTGCATAGTGCAGCTTTTGGTGTCCATGTGCAAAGAGCTGCTGACCTCCCCCACACTGGTTAGCTTAAAGCTGTACTATCAACATAAGGCTGCGTAGCACAGCTTTAATGTGCCACAAATTCAAATTAAAGCACAATATAGACCACCTACAGGTGTTCCACATTAACTCCCCCCACTTCCCACCTGGCATTTGCAGAGCCCTGTGGCAGGTAGCACCAGGCAAGACTACACTGTACATAGCTTTCAACTTGCTGGTGCAGATGGAACCCAGGATTGCGAACCCCAGCTTTACATGTTCTGGCATGTTGAAAGGGAGTGACTGGATCTGCTACCCAGTCCCCCAAATTGCCCATCCTCCCATGCATGTGTGCTACATCCCAATGCTTGAAGTGATGTGGTCTGATGCACAGAAATATATTAGGCAAAATTACTACTGGACTCTTTTGTACAAAAGGAGATTGCTATTACCAAATGTATTAATTGAAGCAATTTCGGTAATCCAGAAATATGTACTTTGGTTGCATGCCAAAAATAATTGAGTTGCTTAAATTTACAGACAATAGTTTCAAATGATTCTATTTTAATGCCAGTCAAGCATAAAACTGCCACTACAATACACTCTGGATAGTGCAAGTGAGAACATTATTCTTTACAATAGTTACATCCTCACTGATGGGAGAATAGGATATCTGAAACAATTTATGTGACTAAAACAATAATAAAGAAAAATCTGACACTGCTTTGTTGAACTATTAAACAAGATTGCTGTGTTAGATGTCAGTACAGTCAAAAGTGGAGAATCTGAGACACGAAATGAAATCTGGTCACAGCTAGTTACTGCCCTGAACTGAATTATTTGAAACACAAAAATTATTTTTATTTTTTTGGAAAACTGATTTTCAGAGTACACCAATTTTTTAGATAGGCCAGCTACTTACAATTTCTCAATTAGCTGCTTTTCATCCAGTGCACCTGGAAGATCTCTTTTATTTCCAAGGACTAACACCTAAGAGAAATAATGCATTTTCAAGACACATAAACTTTGTCATTTACTTTTAAGAATCTACAATCAAAGGGTTCACTCCCTTACCTTTTACACCTAATTATTTAAGACATGGTAAGCTACATTTGCAAAAATAACTTTTAATTTAGAGCATAAGACTGGAGACACCATAAAGTATCTCACAGTGCTGAAGTCCCACCTGCCATTTTAAAGTGTTTCAAAATAAGCACTCTAAAAAGGGAGCACCCAAATAGCAGCCTGTGGTTCATTTTTCCCCTCTCTCCTTATCCCACATAGAAAGAGCAGCAACAGATGAAGCAGAGCATAGAGAGTAGGGAGCAGAAAGCAGAGCAGCAGATTGGGTGAGAATAGAGGGTAGGGAGCAGATAACAGAGCAGATCTAGAAGGGGAAGGAGGCAAAAGTGACACTCTGGGAGAATGTGGGGTTACTTGTACTACATCTGCCAAAAATGATGGCTCCCATTAGTGTAAAGAATACCCAGTGTATGTTATAACTTAACATTAGATAACTGTATTCTAAGTCAGAGATGGACGCTGTCTTTGAAATTATGGTTGCACTATTGCTTTTAATGTGCATCTCAGTTGTGAGTTAAAGTCAACATTACTTTACAGCCACCATGGATCTTTAACATATTAAAATTCATTAGTAATCTTTGTCAACTTAATAAAGCTACCTTCAAATCTATAATGCCAAGAATAAGTATAATAAATAAAGAGAACAAGACTAGTTAATTTCTATAAAATAATAGCTAAAAAAGAAAACCACATAACTGCAACTTGAAAACGACCATGATGATTTGGCTGGGTCAAGTGAATTCTAAAACACACAAAATTAAGCTGACTTCAAGTATACACTGCTAACAACTTAACTACCTAATGAGAATGAGGGGAGGAGACAGAAAAGGTAAATAGGAGAGGCAAAACAGTATGTGAAAAACTCCTAGCTTTTTGTCTGTGCATCTTGACTAGACCTGCCACCACTCTCCTAATTGGTGCCTATTGCCACAATAATATGCTGTGAGCCTTTGAAGTTAAGGTCAGTGATCTCCTGAATTCTTATTGCATCAGGAGGTAGAAAGATCAGAATACTCGGGTCTGACACACATTACTTTCAGTAATGATTAGTCACCTGTCTATCCCTCCCAGCTGGCTCTTCTTTTGATAGCCCTTTCATATGTCACTGACCTTACTTAGCTGAAAGTACGTGCCTAAAGAAAACACCCAGGAGCCAGGCAATACTTGTAGGGGCCGGGCCAATAGTTGTGATGGCTCTGGCCATCCATTCTCCTTCCTGTAACAGTGGCTGTGGGATAGGGCTGTGCCTTCATTTGCTGAGTACCAAGACTGAAGGATGATCTAAAGCTGAAAATAACCTATGCTAAAAGTGCTCATTACTTTTATTAAAACAACATTTCATTCCACCTCCCTAATGACTAAAGGGTATTTCAGCGGTTCACGCTGTTCTTTACCAAACTCAAGTTCCTGTAGGAGAACAGATTTACTTTTGCATTTTTTTTCAGGTTTTTATATTCTGATTTGGCAGAATGCACCCAAATCTCCTGTAACCTGTAGAAGCAAAGGACTACTTGACATTCAAAGCCTGCCAATTCCCCCAAAGATGCATCTTATCCATATTAAGATTTTGTCACTAACATCTGGGTCACTAGGTCAAGGGTTCCCAACACTAGTTTTTACTCAAAGTTAGCACTGAGACTACAATTTCAGCAACTTTGGTTAAATTTTAGTAAATTTCATGCCAGAAGCACAATATGTAAAAAAATCTTACTAGCCATGGTTGATGCAGGCTTAAAGCAGCTAAACTATAACTTGACTTGAGTGAATTTCCTTACTAGGCAGCACTGCTTCATGGAAATTGTAGCTGGAGGACTATTTCCCAATTCTTTCCATTAGGCCAGCATCCCTGACGGAACTACATTTCCCATGATCCTAATCACCTGCCTCTCTCACTGAGTGACAGGATCTTCATGATAGTCACAGAGGTTCTTCAAATTCGCAGTTTCTTTGGCTTACCTTATAAGACTAGGCTCAGTTATCACCATCTGGTAATGCCTTACATGAAATTAATTTGGTTCAAATCTAACTCGACCCTTACACTGGAAAACATATAAATGTGATACAGATATTACAGGATAAGTTGCACACCCTTGTATAAAACTATCACAACAATTTTCATAACAAGTATGTTGAGCACTGCAAGGCTGGTATTTTCAAAAGAGCCTGAAGGAGTCAGACACTTAATTCTCACTGAAATTTACTGAGTGTAGGCTATACATAGGTCAACATTAACATGAGATCAATACAAAAATGCAGTCACTTACTGGGATTCCATGCAATTGTGGCTTGTCTATTAAGTTGTGCAGTTCATTTTTTGAAGCTTCCACTTTTTCTAAGTCTGCTGCATCCACCATGTAACTAAACGTGAAATCATTACTTATAATTTTCCTACTGCACACAGAAAGCTGTATTTTAAAAATATTTTAAATGCATCAGATATGTTGCTCTTTCACTGATCATTTTATTTTATAATATCCTTGGAGAGTAAAAATCATGTAATTAAGAATATGTAACCCCACCGACAAAAAAAAAAAAAAACACAACCAAAACAACCCAGCAGAAACAGACATCAGCTGGAAACCTTCTGGAAAATGTAACTGATCTCTTACAAGGGATGCTGGACATGTAAAATATTCCATGTGTGCGCCAGATGTTATTACTGAATCACTTGCCAGATCTAAACAAATTAATAGAGAATTTTTAATACTCTTCTCAGCTGGCAGAAGTGCAGTATTATTCTCTATTACCATAAAGCAGGGGTGGGCAAAATGTGGCCTGTAGGCTGGATGCCACCAGGCCATTCTATCCGGCCCATGGGGGCCCTAAAAAATTTAGAAAATTAATATTTATCTGTCCCTGGCTGCCTGTCATGTGGCCCTTGATGGCTTGCCAAAACTCAGTAAGCAGCCCTCTGCCCATAATAAGTGCCTGCCCCTGCCATAAAGTAATGCCACCCACTAAACAATAATAGGCAAACGGATACATGTCATGACACTCTTGGAAAAATATGTATGTGATAGTGGGGATCTCCAAGAATATTTGAAGAGTAAGGAATAACCCTGTAAGTTAGGGGACCAAATGAATAATTAAGCAGGCTTTCTCAATCCAGGACTTGATTCAAAATCTATTTAAAGACCATAGATTTTAAAGAGCTCTGGATCAAAGCCCCAGTTTCTATAATTATGTATGATTCTAATACTTTAATATCATTTTCAATGAACAATGACAGAAAAAATCCTCATCCCCCCCCCCACCTAAATTTGGCAACAGTATATGAACAAGAATCACTACGTTAAGCAAAACGGTCTCAACTTTACCCAAATGATGTTCATGTTAGTGTCTAAAATCATACTTCTATGGAGTTCTACTTCCTAAACCAGAGAATTCCCTGGGTTTATCAGCTTCTGAAAAGGACTACTCCACATTTTAAGCTTCCTCTTTATATTAAACTTTCCACAATAAGCTTAACACTTTACCATGCCAGGATGCTATCATATACATGGAGGAGACAAATTATGGAGATAGAGTGGCCTGAAAGTTAAATGAATCAATATTAAAAGACTATATTTAATCATATCTTTAAGAGATACACAAGCAAGCTTACACAACTGCATTGACTCCTCTGCAATAGCGTTCCCACATGCTTCGAAACCTTGGTTGTCCTCCAATGTCCCAAACCTGGAAACCAGAAATATAAGCACCCTTCATTACTCTGTGTACCTGGATAATAAGGACAGAGATTTCTCACTTAAATTTAAACTTTACTATCAGGACATAGCACCATAGTCATATTAAGAAGTTACAACATTCTTAATAGTAGGGTTTGTAGTAGGGTTAAGGAAACCAAAGGAGAGAATACATTAATTTTCCAGTGGTATAAAAAAAGAAAATCAAAGGAGACAGAAAAAAAGTTGAGTGGGAAGGAGTGTAAACCAAAATAAAGACAGCTTAATATGATTATCTCTAGTATCTCAATAGCCTTCAGATTTGCTCACTGGAGAACTGTTTAACAACATGAAGGTCTAGATCATCAACACCAGAAAGAAAATGGGTTGACTGCAAAATTTAAGTAACAATCTCAGTGATAAGATCTGAACTTAAAACCAAAAGGGAAAAAAAAGTTGAATGTGTGTGTCTTCTACTTCATAAATTAATAGTTTAAAACAATCACTTTGCCTTGCTCACTCATATTCAAAAACTTAATCACTCATTTCATCAAAACTGCTACTTAACAACATGTTTACAGGCCTGGGATATTAGATAAACATCCAAAATATCCCCTTAGACTATGTTTAGACTCCTATTTTGGATCAATAGTAAGGGTCATCCTTAAGTAGACCAAGACACATAAGCTGTCCTTCCATGTTTGTATTACTTTGCTTCAGCTGCTTGCCAAACATGGAAGACAAAAAGTGGGCAGACTGATTCTTAGAAGGACTCTGCTTAAGGGTACTGCCCTTCTAGGAATCATTCGACCTACTACTTGTTCCTTCTCCTGTGCTTGGCTTTGATTGCTGGCAGTAAAAACAGCTTACCGTACAGACAGAAGCCAGGTGCTGGTAGGTTGCCTGTGTTTGTGATGTTCAGATGAGTTCTGAACACAAAGCAGAGAGGTGTTGGCTATGGGGAAGCTTAACTTGGACCATGATGCTCATGGCTGCATCCACATGTGCATGAATGTTTGGTTCCTTGGGGCAACTACCAGTGGTGCACTTTGTGCCACCGCTAGTTGTTCCCAGGGAACACTTGTGCCACATGCCCTCTGGCATGCGGCAGGTTACCCCAAGTGGGGTAGGGGAGGCTGGGACCAGCACTGTGCTGGCCCCAGCAGCCTTACCTGGGGGTCTTCAAGGGCTACAGCAGCAGCGATTCTGCCATGTGGAGCCTGGCCAGCAGCTGGAAAGTGGCTCCAGCCAGCCAGGCTCCAATTCTGATCAGCGTACATTGCCCCCAGGTGCAATGTTTTTTTTTGCCTGGGGATTCCCCCAACCCTGTTTTGCTCCTTTGCAGCACAGAGAACATCTGAATGTGTGGTATGTAGTGCCACAGATGTGTCTGCAGTGTTATGTGCTGCATGGCCATGCTTGTCTGGACATGGTCCGTGACAGCTTCCAGATGCTGACTGGATTGCTTCCAGGGGGCAACTAAGAGGTTTTCAATATAGATAGCTCCAGGTTTTGACTACAGACTGTGTCTGGGGTGACTAAATGACAGTGTAGACACGCTTTGTTAAGCTAGGCACCTCCAATTAAGTCTCCACCTTTCTTAAAACTTAGCTGCTTAGCCCCAAGAGGGAGATTCAGAGAAACAGAGATAGGTACCTTGGCTCCCTATAGAGCGAATGTGGAGAGACAGGTGCCTCCAAAGCTAAGTCAGGGAGACTGAACTCAGTATGAGGTGTGTCTACACAAAGATACGGGCAACTGTCAGCGTGGGGTCCAAAGGGTCCTCTTCTTAGGGTAGGTGCCTATAGAAGCAGGACTTGCGATATGAAGTGATGCTGACCACCTTTTAATAGTTACTATTTTGATAGTCTAGTAGTTAGAGCACTCACCCAAACCTTGGGAGACCTGGCTCATGGGCCTTCAGCCTGCAGAACTTGCATCTCCCACTTCCTAGGAAAGTACTCTAAATCACCAAGCAAGATACTAGTCTAGCTGAGGACATTGTACACATGACCCCCATTAAAACTGGACTAATAAGCAGCTGAAAATACAAGAGTTTTGAAGGTAAAGGAGGACAAGCAAGTGAGCCTGAATCTGTAATCTACTGGAGGGCAGTAAAGTACTAGAACAGGTTACCCAGACAGGTGGTGGAGTCTCCATCCTTGGAGGTTTTTAAGACCCAGCTGGACAAAGCTTTGGCTGGGATAAAATAGCTGGGGATGGTCCTGCTTTGAGCAGACAGTTGGACTAAATGACCTCCTGTGGTCCCTTTTCTATGATTCTATGAGCACTCAGCCAGGACAAAGAAGTACTCTGTTTACCCCCTCCCCACCCTGAACAGTTTATGCATTTACATTAAGAACCATTAGACAAAAATAAAAAATAAACCTGAATGGTAAATGTTCCTCAATGGTGTGGTATCATATAAAATAGAGCTGGTGGCACCATCAAGAGCACTTTTGAGTTAGTCAGCATGGCTGCTGTTAAACAATGTTGATGGCATGCATTAAGCACAGTGATCTCTCTTAGCTGAACTGCAATGGAACTTAGACAAAAATAAGTACTCAAACTAGAGTATTTCTCTGCATGAAGAGAAGCCTAGGCACATAGGGATTTTGAGATCTAAAATGTGGGTACTAAATAAATGTAAATATGTAAGAGTTATTTTGGATCACTTAATGTACCTTAAGTGCCTAAATTCTATCTAGGTCCCATTTAGATGCCTATGGGACCAATCTAAAGCAGGCTTTTAGTTTTCTGCATTCCAGTAATTTATTCTGGTTTGGTTAATGTACTGGTGAGTTATATCCATGTGGAATTTAGCCCTAATGTTTATTAAGTCATTTTGAGCCAAAACTGCGCTGAGAATGAAGTATCACTATAAGGATTTAAATAACGTGGTCACATATGAGGAGCTCAGAGACGCAAGAAAACAAACATTATATTACAAGTGAAATACCTATTAAAATAATGATAAGTACTGAAAAATCAACCAAAGAAATGCATTTGTTCTCTAGTAGTTAGTTCTTATTTTAGGCAGAATATGGTATCAATGTAAGAAGAGCTCTCTCAAAAGTAGCAGGTGTATTCATTGTAGCTCAAAATGCATTTGGAAATAAAATATGATATCAAAAGAGTATGCCTTTCCTCAAAAGATGTTTCATATTTATTTTTTCCCAAATCCATTCATATTTAAGGTGCCACAGTGATAAGTATACACATAAAGGAGTACAACTTAATACATCCTTCGGATTAAGTCTTTTCCAACTAACAGAGACTGCTTTTTATACCATCGTTCATAGATCATGTTCATCTATTCATTTCTCATTTTCAACACATTGATTTCATATTTGAGAAAGGCAAATTTCCCAATTCACCATTAAAATCATTCCCCAATTGTTATCTTACTGCTCTTTCTAACATAATATAGTCCCCCCTATAAGACTGAAAATTTTACACATTAAATACAGTAATTTATACCAATTATTATTCCCTCTGACATTTGAGGGAAATGCTTCAGAAAATCTTAAGAAAATAAACTATTTATTTATAAAGCATGACAAGGGATGGGTACACAGTTCAATATTATTTAGATAACAAACTTCACGCCAGAGCTAATGATCACAGTAAGTCATGAAGACCTTGAAAATATCCCTTACCATCTGGTACACATCTGTTTGGGGGCGGGGGGAAGCTATTTTCCCAACAGGCTTAGAATAAAAGGAAGGAGGAGGGGGAAACTAGTGCTAAAAGTAGATGTTATAAAACTAGGTACAGCAATTAGTTCTTTTTGAAAACTGGAACAGGCTACAGGATGGTTTTCTAGTGCTACAGGCCGTGCCTTTCCAATGATACAATAGGTTTCAGCTATGGGATATTTCTTCAGCTAAACCCTGGATGAGTATTATGTTAATTAGCAGAAAGAGTCATTCTGAAATGGTGACAAGATAGGTCATCTCCAAGTGCGGATGACTGTTTTCTCCATAAACCTGATAACTAACCATTAAGAAAAGACATACAAGATGCAAAATAGAACAAACATATTTGATGGGATCTGGAAACCATTTAATCTAGAGTCTGAGGCACTGAAGTCATCTGCAGAAGGGAAAAAAAATGAGTTAAAACTGATAAATTAGAAAAAAATGAATGCTGTCTGAACTGCTTTCTGTATCTCTTTTTGCCAAATTAAAATAATACGTAAAAAGTGTTAATACTTATAGCATCTTTCCTATGCTTTTATAAAACCTACCACTGAGCTAGGTCTTTTATGAGGTCTCTTACATACATCCTACAATCAAAACAATGGAACTGCTGGTAAATAAGTATATAACATGCCCCTAGGAGGGGAACAACATGGGATTTGGAATAATATTCTAGTCTGTATCTTACATGCTTGGTACATCATTTATTTTTGTGCACAGTATTTACTGTATAGGGAAAATATATATATGAGATGTATTAACAGCGGAGGGAAGTCATGACTTAATAGCAGGGGATATACCCAGGTATGAAAAGTTTAAATCAATGTCTAGGAGATCTTTAAAAAAAAGCTTAAACTTTAAGTTACTACTGCACACTCCATAGGCCCCTCATGATTTGAATGTTCATAACACTTTGAAGGCAATTGTATCCTGAGTTGACCAGCTCAACTGAAAATATAGGAAATGCCCTGAAGGATGCCCAAAATGAACCAGGGAAGAAGCTTCTTTCACACTACATTTCTAGGTGGTGAGAGGCTAAAGAGGAGATTTAAAGTCACATTAAGGAGTTGCTATAATTTTGAATGTATTCTTGTGTGTTTAATTCTTAGCATGTATGGACTCTTTTATATTCTTAATGGCAGTACAGTACATTACACCAATGTTTCAATTGGTAAGATAGGGTAATCCATACATTTTAGAGTCACTTTCCTGTTGGTGTTCTTATTCTTGTTTGTTACTTCTAATTTTTCAAAAATCTATGCCTTTTGTTCAATATCTAGATTTTATATGGATATAAGATTTTTTCCTAAGC